GAGTTGACTAGTCAGGGAAGGTGCATGATGCCTACATCTCTAAGGAGATAGGACTGTTCAGAAAGCTACAAGGACGGACTTTCTTTTTTTGGAACACAGCTTAAGGAAAGAGAAGGAACGTTCATGTCCATTTTAGCTACACATACATCAACCATGGCTCTCCCAGGTCAACGTAGGTGAAGCTGTGGTTTTCCTTCATGTCCCCCTGTGTAGAGGGGTAAGGTAGGGATGTGGCTCCTGATGCCACGTGGAATGTCGCAGGGTGTCGGGAGCAGTGACCATGGAGTTCTCCAAGGTGAGCCTGGGATTTTTGAACCTGTCAGTCCACAAGCAGCTGCAGCCTCTGCGTTTGCTGCTGGAGAAGACCCATTATATCCTGGTGCATCTCCCTCTCCTTTTCCTGCTGGGCCTCCTGCGCATTTCTCCTGTCCATTCTTTCCTTCTACATGCACTCTGCTATACTCATCTGCCACCCCTCTATTCCTGGTCTGTTGCAACATTGGCTTGAAGAATCTCGCTGAACAGGTCAACCCGGGTCCTCTTCTTTCTCCTTCTCTGACTCAGGTGTGGAGGGAGAACCCCTCAAGGCCGCAACGGCATCAGCTACAGATGAAACGCTCAGAGGTACCATGGACAGTAGAGTCATGATGGAAAGCAGAAGTTAAGATTCAGAAGTCCCTTCCCCTCCCACAGCTGTCGCTGGCATCCCAAAGCCGCCCGGGCCCATAGGCTGCTAGCCCGTTTGCTTTGGCAGGCCCCTTGGCAGTAATTGCTGAGTGGCGTGGGAATGTGTCCTACCACAGAGGAAGAAATAAGGCTGCCATGCCTGGAGACCTTTGGGAGAGGATTGCAGAGGACTTCCATGAAAGTTTCATTGCGATCTCTCAACAGGATTCAAGAGGCATTCCCGGGTACGTAAACAAACCACTCCACACGCACCCATCCCCTCGCCTAACTCTGGAGGGGCACGAACAGCAGATAACAGCCCGCCCTCTCTTCCTGGTACCACTACCTCTCCTAGTGCGAGCAAACTAATGAAAAGTTGATAGTCATGTCCTGCTCAGTTGGGGGCGCCATCGCGGTAATGGGGAATGAATTTGCACACTTGTCTGAGGATCCTTCCCCTGCATCGGGCTCATCCATGCTCGAATGCTGGCGTCTACTACAGTGGCATCTCAAACAGGTCCTAGCTTGCAGGACAGCTGGACCTCCCTGGCTCTTCAGAGGTATCCATGCTAGTGTGTGGGGCCTCGGGTTCACAGCAGCTTCAAACTGTGAACTGCCTGTGGCCCACCAGCCATCCCTGGAGTCCCTTCCTCGCAGGGCATACAGCTGTGTAACTGTGCAGGGTGGTGTTGGGAGGAGAGGGTGCCCCATGAAAAGAATCTTCTCTAGCAACATGGGTTTCAGGTTAGCAGATTTGGAGCAGTATGTGCAATGTAATGTAAAAACACCCATGTGCATGTAAACATGCACGCCCACTCCAGTGTTACTAGTCCACAAAAAAGTAAATTTCCTTTTCCGTATCCTAGAAGTAACCTGTAGATTAGAGCTGGTCAGGAATTTTTTGATAATGGTTTTTCTTTGGAAAATGCTCCTTTATCTAGATGGTTTCCTCAGGTCTAGCATGTAACTGAAATAGACAACCAGTGCACAGTCCCAGAACAGACCCTAGCCCAGGGATTAGGGCATCCGCCTTACTCCGAATCAGGCGGAGTGGGGATTTGAACGGGGGTCTCTCACATTCTAGGTGAGCACCTAACCACAGGGTATTGTGGAATGGGTCTTGCGCGCTGTGGTTTTCCAAAAAACGGTTCTGAAGGTCTCCATTTCATCCCCAAAAGGTTTGAAATCTACTTTTTACAGACCAGGAAAACCATTTCCCGACCAATTCTACTGCACGTGGACTCAAGTCAACCGGAGCTGAAACAAATAGTTCTGATGTTTAAATAACATGGGACTGTGGCATTCTCTGATCTGTAGAAGAATTAGAATATTTTACTGCCAATAGCAACAGTGGGCCAAACCCCGACGGCCTTACTAAGTTTTTACTCCTGCTCAAATCAAAGCGAGTAAGGACTGAATAAAACCAGGAACTGGCCCCACAGGAATGCTTGGAATTTCTAATGTGTCTTTCACCTGACGATCACAGATTGCAGGCATTCATTAATTAACTGACACCGAGATTATGTCACCCACCCTTGAAACGTAGCTGCTTCTGGGATAGGACACCACAGCTGGTTAAGCCCACCCAGCTACATCACCTAGCAGATCAAGACCCAATCCAAACTGTTGTATTCAAGTGAAACTGCAGAGGGAATTTCGCTAAACGGAATGTAATTGCCTGAACTGGAATTGGATGCCAGGGTTAACTCATCCCTAATTCTTACAGAAACTGCCACGAGAGGTCAGGACTGGAGTTTCACATGCAGGGGCACCGGAACAGGGGGGGCCAGAGGGTCACGGTGCTCCCACTTGTTGAAAATGGATGGGCCGCCTCTTCCCCCCAAGGCTTCTGACTTGGCCGGGGGTGGAGCCTCGGGGGGGGGGGTGGAAGAGGAGGGGCATGGGCGGGTCCACAGAGCAGACAGCGGCCCCTGGCCCCACCCCCTCACTTTTGGGAGGGCTTCACCGCCCCTGTTCACATGTCCTATAAAAGCAAGCCCCATGCTGGCCAATATTAACTCAAAGGGAAATTGCATTGGCCAAAGCATCTGGAGGTCTCCTACCCAAACGCCTACCCAACCACATGGTGCTTAGCTTAAGGAAAGCCATGGAAACACAACCCAAAGTGAGGTCGCTTTGGAAATGCTAGGACGGATAAGCTGCATCTGCACTGGGAGTTGGCTGAGGGGGTGAGGCGGGGAGGTGGGTGCATTACTGGTATAGGTCAACCAGCCAATCCTTTCAAGTGTAGACAAGGCCTAAGGCAGCCTCACCTAGAGCATTCCTGTCTCTTGGGCCCTGGCCACATCCTCCAAGCCAAGAGCATCTGTGCCACCTGGAGCCAGCTTGACTCCTTGGGCTGAATTGGAAAGCTGTCGTTAAAGCCTCTCACTCTGAGGTTGAACCATTTTTCATCCTGTTTCAATAAGACGCTTCAGTCCTGACTCATTCTTGTATTTTTTTTTTAACTCTCTCACGCCGTGAGAGAGGGACCCCGTGGCCATGGAAACGGGGTTCTGCCCCACCCAAGCCAGTGGATCAATGAGCTCGAGCTGACTGCCGGGGGCGGCGAATCGGCATACAGGGCATTCGTTGATGCACTGGCTTCTGGCTGCCTAGCAGGGTGACTCCCAGAGCTGGAGGACCCTGCCTCTGCAACCAACCCTCGGGTGGGGAGAACGGGCCCTTAATTCGTGCTGCCTTGTATTCTCGGGGGGGGGCTGCTAGTGGGGACGGGTCCAGGAAAAGCATTTCCCCACGTATGGATCTTGGCCCCAGTGAACCCGCTCCCCCCGCACCAGTGACTGGGAAGGTGGTGGGGGCCAAAGCTGACACCGAGCAGCTGACTTCCATAACCTCTTGCACAGCTCTGCTGGCTTTTCGTCCCTGTCACCCCCACAGGCCAATGGGATGACTGGCGCCGGGCCCTTTTCCAAAGGGCTTCTGCTATTGGCTGACTGAGACCAGTCATTAGAATGTGCATCCCCCCAAACCCACTCCCGCCCCAGGGGCTTGTACGTGTCGTAAGCCGCTCTGGGCATGCCGTTGTTTGCAGGCATTCGGAGAGGTTGTACACATCCGAAAGCTCAGTCTCCACAAAAGCCGTGGTCCCCATAAATACCGAGCTTCCGGTTAATTGCTCAACAAGTGTTAGAGAGGCCAAGGTGCCGGTGGCCTCTCCTGGGATGAATTCGTTCAGCCCTTAGGAAGGACTTCAGTAGGAAGCAAGTGGACTGGGGCACTAGCCGGTTGCAGGGCATCAGGCTGGTGGCATCTGAAAGTCGTCGCTTTGCAGCTGCTTTTCCTGCATGAAACGGGTTCGCTCTGTCCGCCTGCAGCCCCACGAAAGGGGCGGATGCCCCCCCCACGTCCAACCGGGCTAGACGCACCGTGGTGTTGTAAACTGGTTTAGAACACACTCAGGCTCTGACTACACTGGACCCAGGAGCACCTTTCTCAAGCGGGCGCCTCATTCTGAAGGATATGCCCCAGTTCAATGACAGGCGGGGGGCTCAGTGCAGGGCTTGTTGTGGGAGGGTCTCTGGCCTGTGTTGTGCAGGGGACCGTACTAGACCATCAAAACAATCGCCGTGAAGGTCGGGGTTCTGGCTTCCCTGGGTTAAACTGTACAATAGGCAGGGCCCAAACCCCACTTGCACTAGTGCTTAAACCACAATACTTGAACTGGTGATTTTTTTTCAGCCCTAGTGTAGATAAGGCCTCTGCTCTGCTAAATAAAGCGGGCCCATCTGACCTCTAAGGAGCAAGCAGGGTGGAGGAGAGGAGTGAATGTCAGCCTTTGATGGTGCTGGAGTTTGTCTGGGGCCAGTTTTCCGCAAGGCGGGTTAACCAGGCAGGAGCGCGCCTGTTTCATTGTGCAGGCCAATTGCTTCACAAGCGGAAATGCTCGGCAGGTAATTTGCTGACTTGAATGGAAGCTTAGATTTGGGTAGAACATAGTCAACGTTTCAGAGGGGCTTCGCAAATTATTGGAGCCTTGATTTCCTAACACCCATCACTTTCTCCTGTCCCTTTTATAGGCTCTTTCCTGCTTTTGTGTGCAGCCTGGGGACATGAAGATGGGGGGGACCATAAATGGATTTAGGAGCTTAAGTCCCATTGTAAGTAAATGGGACTTAGCTTTCTAAGTCACTTAAGCATTCTTTGAAAGTTTACCCACAATCCGTAGAAATATTTGGGGCTGGGATTTTCAACGGAATCTAAAGGAGTTAGGTGGCCAGATTCCATTGAGATCTGGGTGGCTAGCTCCCGGGGCTTGTGCTTGCCGTTCCCCGCTGCCTGGCTCGCTAACCCCTGTCCCTGTTCTGTTGCAGACAGTACCTTGTTTGAAAGCTACACGGAGGGTGAAATCCGGCAGCTGATCTCCACGCTGGTCGAGAGGTACAGCCAGTCCATGAACTCCGGGGGGCATGAGCTGCCGCTCTTCCCCAAGCCTGGGAACCGCATGAAGCGAGCCCGGGCCCGCCACAAACCCTGCGCCCTGAAGGAGCTGGAGGTGAGCGTCAGCGAGCTGGGCCTGGGCTACGAGTCAGACGAGATCGTCCTGTTCCGTTACTGCACTGGTACGTGCGAGACAGCCATCAGGAACTATGACCTCTCCCTGAAGAACATGAGGCTCAAGAAGAAGATCAAAAAGGAGAAGGTGAGAGCCCGGCCTTGCTGCAGGCCTCTCGCGTACGACGACGATGTCTCCTTCCTGGACACTTACAACCGCTACTACACCGTCAACGAGCTGTCGGCCAAGGAATGTGGCTGCGTGTGAAGTGGGGAAAGGGAACCTGGGAAGGTTGATGTCTGGAAGGCAGCGCCCAAAAGCCAAGAGGGCGAGGGCCTAAAGGGACATTGCTGCGTTCCGAGAGTGAAGGGAACTAAGAGGGGACCCAGGCTCCGAGAGAGTCAAGAAGGCAACTGTTTCCAAGTCTACCTCAGTTCTGTGGTTGGACTCTAGGGGCAACAGGGAAACTCTTGATGCCGGGTTGTGTTTTGAGAGAGATCGAGGGGCCTTTCAACACTTCGACAGGTGCCTCCGCGCTCCCCCCGCCAGCCCGGTGCCCCTGAGCGTTGGGATGCTCTAAGAAGGAGGAGCTGGGGAATGGAGAGGTAGGAGGAAACACCTGCTGATTTCCTCAGGGATGCCGGCATCAGTCACAGCACCAGCCTGGCATCCACATGGGCTTTTATTTTATTGCTCTCACGAAGGGGTTTAGCAGGAAAGTTTTGCTGACCAAGTATTTCGAGTCCAAAAGGTGCCAGTCGCCCTTGTCTTTGGATGCAATTGGGCGGCCAGCTCCGGAACTGCGATCCAGTCGGAAAGGCGGAGTCAGATTGGCATTCCTAGTCCTACGAAAACTGAGGCCTCTTCTCAGAGGCTCCCCTCCGAGACGGATTGCGGCCTAAAGAGAATTGCTCCAGGGCATGGAGTTCACGTGGATGGAACCTTTTTGGGTGCAGATAAATGACTGAGCGGTCAAGAAATATTCTTTTATATCCTAAGATCATATCTTACCCTTATTTTATTGTAGACATGCAGTATATTCATGCTCTGTAAATATACAGGAATATATATATAGAGAGAGAGAGATAAATATTGGTGGCAATCGCAGAATACTATCATTCCTTCACAGCCATTCTGCCAACGTTCTAGTGAGGTCAATGGACAACTATTGGATGCTTCCCTGGGCCAGGATAGTGATCTTAACAAACTGTCCAGTTGGTGGTTTTAACCAGAGAGAGGGGGAGGAAGAGGATTGGCGTGGGAACATGGGGCTGATGAGAATTTCAAAGCTGCCTTAATTTTTTAATAGGAACTGGGTGCTCTGATCTCCTAGGCAGCCTTGAACATCTCAACTTTACGCATCCGTCATATTGACATTCAGGATGAGGCATTGAGGCAGTCAGGAAATGTGATGGTTGAGAAAGAAGCCATAATTTCCCATGTTTCTACTGCTTTGAGCACCTCCTTTGCTTTCCATCTGGCAGGCCTTCTAGCTTGCTGAAATAAACCACCATGCCCCTCCTGGGACTAGCTTTGCAGGGACACGGCAATAGAGTTACTGGTGGCCGTGCTCCAGCTCTACACTACAAACTTGCAGCTATCGTGCTTCCGGTGAAGACGCTCTAAGCAGACGACAGAGAGCTCTCGTGCCGGCTTAATAATTCCACCACCGCGAGAGGCGGCAGCCATCCCTGTCTACACGGGGGGTTGTCAGTATAACCACGTTGCTCAGGACTGTGGATTTTTCACATCCCTGAGTGGTGACGTTATACCAAAGTAAGCGTGTAGTGTAGACCTGGCCTAAGACCTGGGTTTGCAAAGGAGTCTCAGGGCATGGGTACACTTGCAGTTGTAGAAACCCGCCTTCGGAGACTGCAGCAGGGAAAACGCTGCCGAGTGTTTACACTCTCAGGTGGAAGCGCACTGGCATGGCCACATTAGCAACTCTTGCAACGCCACAGAGAGCAGTGCATTGTGGAAGCTATCCCAGCATGCAAGTGGCTGCAACGTGCTTTTCAAAAGGGGGGTGGAGTGTGACAGGGAGTGTTTTGTGTGTATGTGGGGGGGGGGAGAGGGGGTTTTAGGGGGGCTGAGAGCATGTCAGCATGCTGTCTTGTAAGTTCAGACAGCAGCAGACCTCCCACCCCCCCGCCTCTCTCTCACTCGCTCAAAGCAAGCAGCATTCCTCAGTAATGGTTCCTTTGTCCCAGAGCAGATAAGCAGCCGGCTCTCAGAAACGGAGCTTTGAAAGGGCATATCCGCATTCCTACAGCGAGTTCAAAACAATGACAAAAGTGGCCACTTGACTTAAGGGGATTATGGGACGGTCAGTCAAAGCGCAGTAATTCAACACCTCGTTCACGCTGGCACCATGGCGCTCCAGCGGGGGCGCAGCAAACGTTATTCCACGCACCGAGGTGGAGACCAGCCGCGCTGTAGCCGCAGAGTCAGAGTGTTCTACGTGCCTTGCCAGTGCGGACAGGTAGTGAGCTAGGGCGTCCAGGGCTCCTTTATTGCTCTGTAACTCGCAAGTGTAGCCAAGCCCTTTGGCCTTGTCTACACTTCAAGGTCATATCGCTTTAACTACACCAGTGTAATTAAAATGGTCCAAGTTCCCTAGTGTGGACACGCTTATACTGGTATAAAGGTGCTTATATTAGTATAGGGAAGGAGAATAAACTATAAAGCAGCTTTTATACTAGCATAACTGTGTCCACACTAGGAGCTGCACTGGTGTAACTATACTGGTCAAAAATCACACTCCTAACCCCAATAATTATACCAGTACAAAATCTGTGTATAGGCCACGCCTAGGGGAGTTAGGCACCCAAATTCCATGGAGTTTCCTGCAATGGGGATGATTAGCCAGTAAGGCTGAGAGTGTTGACGCTGCCTTGGGGCTTCCCGTTCATTTTGAATGGGATTTGGGCATCGAACGCCAAATACCAGCCTCGGACTCCACTTTCTCAGAGACCAGGATGGCTGTTGAGCCCAGCCTTCCACTTGGCTCTGCAAAAAATGGGGGCAGGAGGGCACTGCTCCAGCCTGGGCCGTCCTTTGAAAGGAAAAAGAGTTCCCTGGCATTCAAACACAACTTTACCTCAAATGGGACTTTTTAATGGACAAACGTTTGGTGTTTTCCCTCCCTTAGGGCCTGATCCAATTTCCACTGAGATCAGCAGAAAGCCCTCCCCATCTCACAAGAGCTGGTATAGGCCTTCACATCCATTCTAATCACCTCTTGTTTGGCCACTCATTGGAACGAGCTCTTTCCCACCTTCCTTCTCATCCGCTTTTTGTCTTAAGGCTCATGCCAACCTACAGTAACTGGATCAAGTCTCCATTTCCTCCACCGTCGCTGGTGTCAGGTGACCGGCTCACCCAACCAGGTTGTCCTCAGTGCACCTGGTAAAATGATTTAGAAACACTCTGGAGTAGGAGAGATGGGTGTTGCCATAGGATGGCGTTTTAGTCTGAGGGCTAGGGACGCATTGGGTTGTGATATAGCGGAAAACCAGCACGATAAAATTAGGATACATATCAGCAATAACATCCTAGCCGGAGCTGTAATAGAAGGTCAATGGCGACCAGAAAGGCTGGATCCCAATCCAGAAGCATTGAAATCATCAGGTCCATCGGGAGCTGCATCTAGGGTTACCAGCTTCATAATATTTCAAAACCGGACTCTCCAGCAGGAGTGACAGCACCTCCCCTGCCCCGTCTGCAGTTGCCCAACACAGGTAGGAGGTGGCCCTGGCTGAGTAGGGGCTGGAGCGGGTGATGACTCGGCGCGTCCCTGCCTCCCGCGCCCGCAGTAACTGGATTTTGGCTGTCTGGTCAGTAGATCTGACTGAGCACTGTCATGTCCCCTTTTCGACTGGACTTTCCAGTCGAAAACCAGGCACCTGGCCACCCTAGAGCTTGCACCTCTGCAGATAAGATGGGGCTGAAATCCACAGGAGTCTTAAGAACCCAACTTACAGTGGCCTTTGAATGCAACAAGTGATTCCCATTCACTTCAGTAGGGTAGAGTAGCTTGTATCATGGGTGAGAGAAGAACCAGACCCTTTCTGTCTATGGTTAGCGTTTACAGCCTTGTCAGTGTTGTTTACTATGTGGGGAAATAAATGAGACTACAGACTTTTGCAGTCTCTGAAAAGGCTATATTTGTCGCTTGGAGTAGCTGGTTTTCTCCTCTTGGCTCCTTTCCCAACTAATGCAAATGATAAACAGAAGGAGAATATTGGTGTCATGTACTGGGCATTCACCAAGACAATGGAAAGCTAACAGGCCTGGAATTCTTTGATTGTTATTGACTTCCCTCTCTTTTGCCCAACCGTGGGCCAGACTCTGATCCCGGATACAAATCCGATATAAATCGGAAGACACTCCACATTGGAGTAGCAGAGATCAGAATCTGGCCCGCTTGTTTCTTTTTCACAGCAGTCAGGTAAAATGTGTTTCTTCCTTCCTGTTCGCATAGATAATTAGCAGCTTCGGCTGGGATTTGCAAAGGAGTCAAAGGGAGTTAGGCACCCAATTCCCAACAAATGTCAAGGGGGAATTGGGAGCCTGACTTTAAAAATCCCAGCCCATAATGTGAATGGGAACCAAAATGCTGCTTGTGTGTCTCTCCTGTGAGACACGAAAAATGTAACATGGAGAGTAAATAGCATAGATTTCTGACCCTTGCCAAAGGTCAGGCTTTTTTGCGTTGGATCTAAAAGCTGCTCTTAGCTGAACGGAGCCAAGATGTATCAAAGCAATATAAACATCATCATTCATCAGGCTTTGCCTCACTTGCACCCTGCTCCCATATAAAAGGGCTGCTGGGCTCTGAAACCCTAATCTTTACCCTCACCTTTGAAAGAGGAGGCCAGCTGTAGAAACTGACCGGAGGAGAGGGGAATAAAGTCCACCTGTTGGATTTGTCGACACATGTAAAACCGCCGGTCAGTTTGCAAAAAGGCAGCTGTTTGCCACAATGCTTTGCTCCTACCGGGTTGACACATATCCAGCTTTACAGCCCATGTCTAAAGCCCTAATGGGGATGCGAACACGGTGCACTGTAAAGTCTCTTCAGCAGCAGGCTTGGCTAACCCAAGCTCCCGCTAGTTCAGAAGTGGCAAAAGCCAATGTGCATATTTTCTAAAAAACAATGCAGTGAATGTAGCAGAAGAAGTTCCACCTCCTAATGCAGGCTGTGCACGAGAATTCAGCCTGAGGCTATGTGGTGGAAATCCCCTCTTTGGGGCTTATTCTACAGTCACTTACACCATTTTTTACTCCCGCAAGTCTGTTGTTTAGTGGGGTTGCTGCTGATTTGCACTGTGGTCCATGAGAGGCGAATTGGTCCCTTTAAATCATTCCACCTGTGTCTCAGGCCTTTGCTTTTCATTTTATTTGATGTGCCAAATTCTGTGATGTCTTATGCCAGCCCCCACAAGCCCTGATGCAACTCCAAGGAGCTAAGATTCTCCACTCACAGGAGCAACTGTGTTAAAGTCAGAGGAGTTGCATCAGTGTGAAGTTGGTGTTAGTGACGGGAGAATCCAGTTTACAGGCTTCCTGGAGATTGCCCGAGGTATAAATCAGATCAGAATGTCACCCAGGTGCTAGGAAAATCAAAGACACCTGTGATTTTTATGACTGTTCACTGTAGACAAGTGTGACGAAGATTAGCACTTTGCCAGAATCAGCGTAGGGTGATATTTACGTCTGGGGGAAACCTGGGATGCTAGCATCGGTCAAGAGATTCCATGTGTACGTAAACTGAATGTCACTTTTGGAGACAAGAAACCAGATGGGGTGGACCACTGGAGCGTAGCACTTTGATAATCCCTGTGGTCCGTGGCAGAGCCCTTGGGAAGATCAGTGCTAATTTCTTCCTGGTTTTCATTTCCTTTAGGCATGCAGAAAAATTATGATGGACGAATTGATGCAATGTGAGAAGTGGCCATAGTGTTTGGAAGCGGTCGTTCAAGATCCGAATAGCTCTTTGTTTTCCTTTGCTCTTATCCCCCTGCTGTTACATCTGCTAGTCCTGGCTATTGGTAGGAACAAGGGTTTGGTTGGGGAATGGCTCTTCTTCATGCACCACCCTGCATTCGCTTGTGAACAATGGGGGTTTTCCCATGGAGTCAGTGGGTGCTCGATCGGGTCTGCAAAGTGCTATTACAGAGCTAAGTATTGTGAAAGGTAAATGCTTGTCAGTAATGATTGCAGGTGCAAAAAATCTGGATCAATTCATTGTGGGGGGGCCGAAAGCTGACAAATATTCAATGGATTTATTCCCCGCAAACAGTCTGACCAGCACTGCCTACACAATTACTGTTTAAATTATTGTTTCCAATCATGGCTTGTGTCACAGTCCCAGTTCTGAATGAAAAAATCACCTCATACGGGTTCAGGCCGTGGGCCTGGCTGGCAGATAAAATAGCTTTAAACTTGGGAGCTGGGATCACGGCATGTTCCATGTTCAAGAGATAACAGACGCGCTCTTCCGACTTCTAAAAAAACGGAAGATGAGTAAACGGCCTCTTGAGCATTTGGTTCCCATCCAACTCCACTCTAAAAGCAAACCTGGTTTTGTTTGCAGTCTCCGGTTTAAAAAGAAAAGATGATCTATGGCTGGGGCCAGAATGCCACAGACAGGGAACAGGGGTTCTGTGGCTTGGTTTACTGGGGTAGGTCTTCATTGCAGAATTCACTCGGGCGGGAAACGGTTTTCCCATCCCGCCAAAATTTTTGAGATTTCGAAATGTTCCCTGTTCCACAGTGTGATGAAATCGAGACCTTTTGGAATTTGTCTTGGAAAACAAGAGAGAGAAACACCCAGAATAGCCAATAGCCCACTCATGGAATATGGGGAGAGCCACTGTCCTGGGTCTCCCCCAACCACCCCAGGACTATGCCCTGATCACTGGGCCGTTGGCTACTCTGGGAGATAGCGGGAGTAGGTGTCTCTCTTATTTTCTTGTGAGAAACCTTCCCGAAACTAACCCTTTCCTGGGAAAACTTTTG